TTTCGTTTTCCCGCTCGGTGCGCCTATGTTCATAAAGGCGAAGGCTCCGCAGGGCTCCGAACTCGCGCTGCAGACGCCTGCCCGCGGGAAGCGCACTCCCGGCCCGGCCGCCTCCGCGCCCCCGGCAGCGTCTACGCCTGCCCGCGCCCCAAGCGCACTCCCCTCGCTCAGTAGCCCGGGCTCCCCATCCTGAGCAGAAAGCCTGAGGGGACGGCCGCCTCCCAGGACGGCCTGCCACCACCATGAGTGAGGATTTTCTCCGCTTCTGTTCCCAAACTACGCGTAGGCCTCGGACTCCGTGGCCCGCGCTGCGCCACGGTCCTTTCGGGGGCGAGCCCTGGACGCCCCGCAGCGGGCATCGGGGTGGAGCGCCCGCGCGAGCCCGGGCCCCGCCTGCACTGGCCTCCCGCTCCCTTCCGGGACTGTCACTGTCGGCTTGTCACCTGGACCTGCTGCTACCGCCCTGGTGCCTTTCTAACTTCGGGGTCTCAGCTCGTCCCCTCCTGGGAGCTACAGATTCTTGGTGATCCGCCCAGTCCGCGATTTTGTGGGGATGTCTGTAGCTGTCTCCTTTACCAAGTTAAGGCGCAGGGCTGTTTTTCTCACCCGGTTTGTGTGCGCTGCGCTAGCACCCTGCCCTGCACCTGATTAGTGAACCGTCTGCATTAATGAGTTGAGGGATTAGAGGCTAAATTCTTGTTCCAAGTCCTGACTCCGAACACCTACTAGTTGGATGACCCAAAGCAACATTTCTTAAACTCTGTGAGTCTGTTTCTTATCCGTAAAAATGAATGGCATCCAAATCTTAGGACTGTGGAAAGAGTTAATCAACTGCTTAGCATGTTAATATTTGCAAATGCTGATGATTATTATATGAAGTAAAAAAAATGAGATTTAGTAAGTGCCCCACCTCTCACATCCGTAGGAAGGGAGGGAGGTTTCAGGAAGGTGCCTGAAGAAAGGAGGAAAAAGGGGTGCACTGTATGTGTATGTGGGATGGCCTGGAAGCCAGTGAACCCCACTGGGGACTGTCCCCCAAGAATAATGAAAGGCTGCTCCTTCCTGGCCAAAAATCAAAGTTGCCTAAAGATAAATGTTGCCTCTTTCAGACACAAGAGCCTCTCTCTGCCAGCTTCCCAGAGACAAAGTTTGAAAATTAACTGGACAAAGTTTAAAAAGTAAAACTTATCATGGCATCCAGTTGTATACAAATTCCAAGGTCTGGGCAAAGCACTTCAGTGGCTGAGTGACCCTTGGATAGTTCACGGCCACATTCATATTCCCTGGGACAGCCCTCCTCAACCTCCTTGGGCTGGGGTGGACCTTCAAAACAGAAGCAGAGTGCCACCGTACTGTGTGGATGGGCAGGGGCCTGGGCAGGCTGTTAAGGGGTTGTCTTGCCATGATTCTGGTGCACTTGCACCGGAGAAAGAAACCACTAACCTTCACCAAGGGACAATCATACCAGGTTTCCCAGTCAGGACCACAGAAGACAGTCCAAACCCTATCTTCAGAATCAAACACAGGGCCAGACAGAGAGCTGGCCAAGATATAAAGCCAAGTGGGATAGGGAAGACCGCAGTGGGAAAAAGTTCGGAGCCATTAGCAGGAAGGGAAGAACTAGCGGGAGTTCGTCATCTGGAGTCCAGGTGCTTTTTATGTTAAGCCTAACTTCTGGGCTGGATGTGCCAGGAGCTGCCAGGATATTATCTACATTTTCATTCATTCAACAAATATTTATTGAGCTTCCATTATCTGCCTAGCATAGTAGATGCTGCAGACACAGAGGTGAAAAAAATAAAATCACAATAAGGTCTCTATACTCATGGGGTTTATATTTAAATGGGAGAAATAAATAGGTAAGTGAGTAAATAATCAGCATAATTCAGAAAGTGATAAGAGCTACAAGGAAAATAAAATAGTGTAATGGGCTAAGAGAGTGACCTAGAATGGAGGGGGCCGTTTTCGATAGTTCTGCCCCAGCAGCCTCTTGGGTAGGATATATATGAGCTGAGTAACAGGACGAGCTAGTCACGCAAAAATTTAGAAGCAGAGCATCCCAAGTAGAGTAAAAACAACAGGTATAAAAGTCCTTAAACTTGATGTGTTTGAGATAGGAAGAAAAGTCCAGTATGTCTCAAACACAGTGAATGAGGAGAGTAGGAGGAAAAAGGTCGGACGGGTAGGCAAAGCCAGGCTCCTTTGGGACCTGTGGGAAATGGCAAGGGCTGGATTAGTATCTACGGGTGTTGGGTAGCCATTGGGAGATTGTAAGCAGAAGACTGACATGATCTGGTTTATAGTTTCAAAAGTTTACCAGGACTGTATGGGGAATAAAGACAGGAAACAGGGAGATTTGCCCCAGCCCCAAGGAAAGGTGATTGTGGTTCAGACTAGGAAAACAGCAGTGGAAATGCAGAAAAGTGGATGGATTTGAGATGTGGTAGAATTAACAAAACCTTGTACTGGATTGGATGAGGGATTAAGACAAGAGGAATGGAGGGATCAAAGATTACTCCTAGGTTATTTGTCAAACAAGATGGGGAAGAGAGGAGGAACAGGATCAAGGAGTCCAGGTTTCTGTATTGGATATGTTTATTTCAGAGGCCAACTGAACTTCTAATTGAAGATGTGAACTAGAAACTCCTGAAGTCTGGAGTTCAGGGGAGAGATCAGAAGTTGAAGAAGTATGCTGGAAGGTCCTCAGGGTATATGAGGAAGTCTTTATTGGATTGTAGGAATAAAGTATTTTAATTCATTTCTTTTGATGATAATTGTATCTTTGATAACTAAGATCAATGCCCTTCCTTCAGATCATTTTTTAAAGATTGTATTTATTTATTTGACAGAGAGAGAGAGAGAGAGTACAAGCAGGGGGAGCGGCAGAGGGAGAGGGAGAAGCAGAGTCTCCGCTGAGCAGGGAGCCCGATGCGGGGCTCAGTCCCAGGACCCTGCGATCATGACCTGAGCTGAAGGCAGATGCTTAACCAATTGAGCCACCCAGGTGCCCCTGGATCACTTTTAATATATATTTACCTAGCTCTTTCGTTGTTTGAGAGAGCCACTAATCATCCTTAAAGAAATCCCTCTGCCACTTCTTATCTCAAGCACTCTGCACCGCAAGTCCTGGTGAGAGGCGGCTCCATCTAAAATGACCGCAATAATGTAGAATGTTGGGACTTTTGATTGAGGGCTCATATTTGAAACCATCACTTTAACCTGAGACCTTTAAATACCTGGCTTGTCCTTCCCCATGGGCAGCCAAACAGACCTCTTAGCTGTTCTTTAAGCTGCTCTAAAATCCCTTCACATTTTCTTTTTAGGTCCTCCCCAGGCAAAATGAATTTTAAATACATTACATATATCCTATACTTTAAAGTAAACTATTCTAAAAACAACTTCCAATTTTTATGTTAAAGAGGTAGAATAGCATTATGGTTGAAAGACACTAGCTTTATGCACTCTGAATCAGGCAGAACCAGGTTTGAACCTGAGTAACCTCGGACATGTAATTTAAATTCTGTCCCCCAGTCCTCATCCATACAACTGTGAAAATAATAAAATGTTATAAAAATTAAATGTAATTTGGAAGTGCTTGGCACACTGCCTGGCATGCAGTAAACTAGTGATGAATGGCAGCTTCTGTTTTTTTATGGTGGGGGGATTGTTTTGTTTTGTTTTTTGAATGCTCATCTGATTGATTCTGGATCATATATTATAAATGGTGCAGCATTTACATTATTGAGCCAAATCAGCAGTGAGCCCAGGTCATATGTATAAAGTTGTTTTTTCAAATCTATCTTGATTTGCCATTTAATTTAGCTCTTCACCTTGAATAAAATATCAAACAATTTTAAGTTAAAAGGAGAGCTCTAACCTGTTGTTCTGGAGGCCTTTTGTTCTAGGAAGCTGGCCAGGCCCAGTATCTCCTGTGTCCTGTCTCATACAGGAGCCACGAGTCATATGTGGTTATTCAAATTAATTAAAAGTAAATAAAATTTAAAATTCAGTTCTTCAGCCATCCTAGTCAGATTTCAAGGGATCAGTGGTCACTTGTGGCTAGTGTCCATCATATTGCACAGCACAGGTGGGGGTCGCTTCTTGGCGGACATTCTTGTGTGAAGCAGGGAAAGTCAACGTGCACACGCACGCGGCACTCTCTGCCTCTGGTCCGGGGACTTTCCCCTAGGCACGAATAAGGAACCAGTCCCTCCTTTGTAGCCTAGGAAACAGGCCTTCAGCGCGAGCTACTTAATTGGACTATCTCTGAGTAAATCACTGGGACCAGGGAATGGCTGGAATATCGTGTTTTCCCAGACCGGAGTGAATGGTGCACCGCCCATCTCCAATCACATGGACCGATAGTAGAGGAGAGGATGTTCCAGAAATGAAATCCAAGAGAAGGGATCCTCACCAAATCGAAGCCAGAGATGTCCACAGCATTGGACTGTGTACACTGTCTGGGTCACATCCATGAACCTTGGCTGGAATGCTGAGTTGTTATTGACTATTTACTTATAAGCTCTGTACAAGCAGGGCTGTGTCTCGTTCAGGGTTCCATCCCCAGGGTTATTTATAAGATCTTGCACATAGAAGGCTGTCCATAATGAATAAATATTTCCTTTCCCTTCCTTTCCCCTTCACCTTCCTAGTTTCAGAGATCCTGTTTCCAGTGGGCTCTGCAGAAATTATACTGGGTCTCGCACAAAGGGAGCTGGGCAAATATTTGTGAAGTAAATATTAAGGGCACTGATAAGTTCATAATAGCCCTTAGCCTCTACTTTTGCCCACAACCCCAGAGGACAAAAGGAGGTAGTGCTTTATAGCAAAACCTACTGAGCTTGGGGCACCTCAGTGGCTCAGATGGTTAAGCGTCTGCCTTCGGCTTGGGTCACGATCTCTGGGTCCTGGGGTGGAGCCCCGCGGGGTGGGCTGCCTGCTCAGCGGGGAGTCTGCTTCTCCCTCTCCCTCTGCCTCTCCCCCTGCTTGTGTGCCCTCTCTGTCTCTCTCAAATGAATAAAATCTTAAAAAAAAAAAAACCTACTGAGCTTATTACTTAGCCTCCTTTTGCCTTTTCCCTATCTTCTCTGAAATCTGTTACTCTCCTTTTTATCTACCGAAAATGCTTTCCCCATCTCTTGACAGACCTGTTCCTGTCTGTTTCTGAGCCTTTTCTCTCTGTGGGGTTTCCTGCCTCCCTCAGCAAAAATGATGTATTGGTATGGCTTCCGTGTCTCCTTCAGTGTACTTCTTTTTCTTATTTCTGACTATTCTTCTTTCCTTTCCTATTGATAACACAGAAGTGGAATTTTGATGTTTGTTATTGACTGTTTACAGATCTATGATACTCAATTTTCAAGGCTAGTAAACAAAACATTTAAATTTCTCTCTGTAAAAATAAGTGGTACTTGGCACAGTTAGTGACTGCCAAAAGGAAATCGATACCCAGCCATCTTTGTGGAACTGGTTTTGCAATAAATAATGAGAATTTAATGAAATATTTCTAGGATATAGCTGTACACAGAGGAAACTAATATAAAGTTATAGGGGCCTAGTGCTTCAACTGGAAATTCCAACAGAAGATCAATTTGGTTGCTAAGCAGAGAACAATGTTTAAGGTTTAAAAATGGACTTATTTCTTCAAAAATATAAAAAGGATTTTATCTTTGACAGTGAAATTCCTAAGGACCCCTTGAAGGCCATTCTGTTGGAGTTAGAATGTCACTTTACATGGAATTTACTTAAGGAAGACATTCTGTTTGATGTGGAAGATACAATTGGGCAGCAGCTTGAATCTGTCACCACAGAATCCAGACTTACTCTTTATAACCTATTGGCCTATGTGAAACATCTAAAAGGCCAAAATGAAGATGCCCTAGAATGCTTGGAACAAGCAGAACACATAATCCAGCAAGAGCACTCAGACAAAGAAGTTCGACATCTGGTCACTTGGGGAAACTATGCCTGGGTGTATTATCACATGGACCAGCTTAAGGAAGCTCAGAAGCATTTAGACAAGATAGGGACCACCTGTAAGAAACTGTCCAGTCCTTCTGACTACAGGTCGGACAGGCCTGAGATTGACTGTGAGAAAGGGTGGGCACTCTTGAAATTTGGAGGAAAGTATTACCACAGGGCAAAAGTGGCTTTTGAGAAGGCTCTGGAAGTGGAACCTGACAATCCAGAATTTAACATCGGTTATGCCATCACAGTGTACCGGCTGGACGATACTGACAGACACGGGTGTATAAAGAGCTTTTCTCTGGGCCCGCTGAGGAAGGCTGTCTCCCTGAACCCAGGTAACACCTACATTAAGGTTTTACTGGCACTGAAGCTTCAAGATGTACAAGCAGAAGATGAAGGGGAAAGGTATACTGAAGAAATCCTGGACCAAATATCCTCCCAACCTCATGTCCTTCGTTACGCAGCCAAATTCTACAGGAGAAAAAATTCCTGGGACAAAGCTCTTGAAGTTTTGAAAAAGGCCTTGAAGGTGACACCATGTCTTCGTTCCTGCATCACCAGATGGGACTTTGCTATCGGGCGCAAATGATCGACATCAAGGAGGCCACAGGCAACAGACCTACAGGGGAGGATAAACTGAGGATGGACAGGCTTATTACAATGACTATCTTTCATTTCAAAGTAGCTGTGCAATGAGACTTCAAGTTCCCCTTTGTCTACACAGCCCTGGCGAGCATGTATGTCGAGGCAGGCCAGTGTAATAAAGCTGAAGAAGTTTTCCAGAAAGTGCTTCATCTGGAGAACATAACTGATGATCACAAACATCAGATCCACTACTACTACGGCCGCTTTCAGGAATTTCACTGTAAGTCAGAAAGTACTGCCATCCACCATTATTTAGAGGCCTTAAAGATCAGTGACCAATCATCCCTCCGTCCCAAACTGACAAGTGTTCTGAAGAAACTGGCTCTGAAGAGACTTGGTCATGATGCTTCAGATGTGCAGTTATGTGCCCTGGGGCTTGTTTACAAGCTGGAGGGAGAAGAGAGGCAAGCTGCTCAGTACTATGAGCGGGCCCAGAGGATAGATCCAGAAAATGCAGAGCCCCTTGCCGCTCTCTGTGAGCTTCGACTTTCTATTTAAATATATACTCTAGGAAATTGCTTTTAAGCTTTTCTTACCATTTTGGGCTCATATATTTTTATTGTTTTAATCCATTTTTTTTTCAAGATTTTATTTATTTATTTGACAGAGAGATACAGCGAGAGAGGGAACACAAGCAGGGCGAGTGGGAGAGGGAGAAGCAGGCTTCCCGCAGAGCAAGGAGCCCGACGTGGGGCTTGATCCCAGGACCCTGGGATCATGACCTGAGCCGAAGGCAGACGCTCAACCAACTGAGCCACCCACGTGCCCCCCATTGTAAATTATAGAACCAATTTTTATTGAATGTTTACTGTATACCAGGCATCATGCTAAATGTGATGAATCTTTTGGCTTTTTTTTTTTTAATTAAAATAGTGTATCCATTTGAAAACAAAAACATTCCAGATGCACCTTTCAAAAATGGTATGGCCATTATGACTATATCCCCCTTATCTCTGCTATTTATAATTTTCTGATTAGGGGCACTTGGGTGGTTCATTCAGTTAAGTGTTTTGACTCTTGATGCTTGTCCCTCTCCCTCCGCCCCTCCCCCCTTCCTCTCTTTCTCTCAAATAAATAAAATCTTTAAATAATAATAACTTTCTGATTAAATTTTGTCATATTTCCCATATTGCTCACTTATGCAGGAAGCATAATCCTGCATAAGCCTTTGACCCCTAGGTCAAGAACGCTCTTTCAGGAGTGCAAAATTATATTAGTTAAGCTCTTAACTATGCAGCTTGCAAAAGATGGATCCTATCCAGTTCTGACTCTGATGAGGATATTTAATCATTAGCCTGACAGTCACTTAAAGAATCCTTTTTGTTGAAAGAAAAAGTTCATAATAGTAAAAAGTCTGCCATCTATGATGACTTCAATAAAAGGAGAAAAAAACTAAAATGGGGGGAAAGGATTTCTTTAAATATAGAACTTTAGGGACCCATGAGAAATCAGAAGTGTTATCTCCCCAAAATGTTCACTGCATAACTAGAAACAGTTGTGAGAAAAAAAATAAACAATGGAAAATCGTTAGTCTCAAGTTTCTCTGGTCTTTTAACTAGAAGAATAAACCTAACCTAAATGGAATTAATTTTATTCCAACTAAAACTGCAGAGTTTTTGGGTTTAAATTATTGAGACAGAAAGCAGATTGAGAAATTGGGAAAAATGATTTAAAAAAATGGGTAAAATAGATGTCCCCATTCTACATCCATAGATTACCAAGGTTTCAGTGATTTGGTTTTGAGTCTGGACTGGGTGGTTCTTGTACCTCCAATTTCTGGCCTTTCGTTAACTCCTTTAGTATTCCAAACTTACTTCTGGATAGCTTTTTCTTTTGCCTGAAGGTTTCAGATTTACATGTTTTCCTGTAGATCTTTCAGGAATACTTAAGCCCTGCTTTTGGCTTGGATATCCACCTTGAAGGGTCTATTGCTTAAGGACTCTTATCCCTGGGGGGCTTTTTAAGTTGAGATGCTGATGAAAGTGGCTTCTTTAAAGTTGTTTCTCTGATTATCATCTACAGTTATATTTACCACCACAGTATTAGTGGAAAAGTGTGCCTTGTGGTTTGATTCTCTGCACTGCCACTGCCTAAAGACTACTATGTATGTTTACTTTTTACTTATTGTTACTATTTTTATTTTAAATTTCTGTTCTGATTTTATTACAAAAGTGATGAATTCTCATTGTAAAATTTTAAACAGACAGAACCATATGAATTTAAAAGTAAGGCACTTCTCACCCTAACCCAATTCCATACCCCCATGGTAACTTGTTAACAATATGTATCCTTCCAGATGTGTTTTCTATGCATATTCAAACATACATCCATACTGCAATGTATTTCATGAATTAAAATTTTTTAAAAGTTTGATTTACTTAAGTCTCTGCTGTTTTTATTTTACTAACTTCATTTGTTTATTCAAGAAGGAAGAACAGGGAAGGGAATGATCAAGTATTTCAGAAATTCAGGATGAAGTCCTATCCTGTCAGAAGAAGCATTTTTTTTTTTAGAAGAAGTATTTATCACATTTTGCAGCACATACTTTATTTTGCAGCAAGTCACTGGGAATAATGTTGGAATTAAGGTTATGTTCCCAAGTATGGACTCCATACACAATAAGATACAATTATGATATCAAAACAATAACACAGCTAAAAGCCTCTATAATTAAATATTAGACTTTAAAGTCTATTAAATGACTTTAAAATTCACTAGATATTAAAACATTGAAAAAATTGATTCACATGGGGGCGCCTGGGTGGCTCAGTTGTTAAGCGTCTGCCTTCGGCTCAGGTCATGATCCCAGGGTCCTGGGATGGAGCCCCGCATCGGGCTCCCTGCTCCGCAGGAGGCCTGCCTCTCCCTCTCCCACTCCCCCTGCCTGTGTTCCCTTTCTTGCTGTGTCTCTCTCTGTCAAATAAATAAAATCTTAAAAAAAAAAAAAAGAATTGGTTCACATGATTTTGGAAGCCGAGGACCATAATCGTGGCCTGCTGTCCACAAGCTACAGACCCAGGAGAGAGCCAACAGTGTAATTCTAGTCAGAGTCCAGAGGCCCGAGAACCGGAGGGATAATGCCGTAGGGCTCCCGTCCAAGTCTGAAGGCCTGAGAACCAGGAATGCCGATGGTATAAGCTCCAGTCTAAGGAGAGGAGAAGACCAATGTCCAGCTCACACAGCCAGACAGACGGAATTCACACTTCCTCTGCCTTTGGGTTCTACTCAGATCCTCAGCAGATGCGGTGAGGCCCATCCACACGGGGGAGGGCAGTCTGCTCTCACTCAGTCCACTGAGTCAGCTGCTAATCTCTCCTGGGGACACCGTCACACCCCCTCCCCCCACCCAGAACTAATGTTTAACAGACATCGGGGATCCCACAGCCTGGCAAGCTGACACACAAAATCAACCTGTAACTGCATCCCAGGTGCAATGCCTAGCAGGCGTGCCATCACAGTGACCATGATCTTCTCCACAGTGAGGCCAACAAGGATTCTCTGGAGAAAATCCTTCCACAGCTGAAATGCCATTTCACGTGGAACTTAAGAAAGACAGCATCTCAGGTGATCTAGAAGATACAGCATGTCACCAGATTGAATTCTTAAACACTGAGTCCAAAGCTACAACGTACAATTTCTTGGCCTACATAAAACACCTGAATGGCCACAGTGAGGCGGCGCTGGAGTGCCTGCGCCAGGCGGAGGAGCTGATCCAGCGGGAGCACTCCGATCAAGCAGAAACCCCAAGTCTGGTCACCTGGGGTAACTACGCCTGGGTCTACTATCACCTGGGCAGACACGCAGATGCTCGGATGTGCGCTGACAAGGTGAGATGAGTATGGGAGACATTCTCACATCACTACAGTACTGAGTGGCCACTGGTTTCTTCAGTGACCAGAGCTGCCTGGGTCCTCAGCAGGGCAGGTCCCTGAGAACTGGGGTCACTACCGCCATCTGCTGACACTGTAGCTCCTGCTCGTCCTTGTTTTAGCCATCTGTACATGTCTTAGCTTTGCCGGTCTCTGGGTGCAACAAAACCAAAGTAGGTCCGTTGCATGCTGCCCTGAAAGGCTCAGAAAGCTGGGTGCTCATCGGGCTCTTCCTTTCCCAGGGAGAACCCTTTCTGGCTGGGAGTTCCCTGTGGGCACTGAGCAGCGCCAGCCAGGGCAGGTGGAATCAGGGGGCAAAACGAAGCTCTTTTCCTCTCTTTGAAAAGTTATTCTCAGGGTTTTTATTTTTTATTTTTTTCCATTGTTGCTGAATTTTGGTAAGCGGACACCTGAGCTTTGCCGGAGCTGGTTTTATTCATGAATAAGGTGTGTAACTGTGGATCTCAACTGGGGGCGGCGGGATCCCCTACTTCACCATCTTGGTGACATCACTCTCCAACAGAGTTTTGTGTTTCATTTTCAAATAACTCCTAATCAACGACAAAACTGTCTGATTCACACCTACTGATTGATAAATGAACTTACGTATTTTATTTTTTAATCTTACAACAACCCCATAAAGTAGTTACTGCTGTCATTCACTTTTTAGCGGGGGAGAAACTGAGTATTTCGATGGTTAAGTCACCTGTGTAGACTCACAAATGTGTTGAGTGGTAGAGTCTGGACGTGTAAGCAGACCAGGCTGACTGCAAAGTCCAGGCTCCTTGGCGGTGTCTCACTACAGACTACCAAGACCCCACAGCCCCAGCTCCTATGGGACAGCCTTTAACAACTGTCCTCAGTCACAGTCGCGGGCCTCACTCCTTGGCCTATGCAGCTGAAAAAGAGACCTTCTGGGATCGAGGCCCACACATTTTACTGCATATAGGGAGCTTTCCTCACAGAAAGTGACAGGGGCAATCACAGCTCATCTTCTGCTGGATGCCAGTCATCCTCTCCCCTGTAGCCTTCCCTCCACCTTGAAACAGCAGATGCTTGGCACAGCCTATCCTCCAAGGCCTTTCTCTGAAGGTTAGTCCCGGGCAGGCTCAAAACTACACACATTAATACACCCAACTGAGAAGCATTTGGAGATTGTGACCACGACACACTGCAATCCAATTACAACTCTTTCTCTTTCTGACTACCAAACTCCACAGAACCCAAAAGAGCACAAACTTCCTTTCCAGTTCTCTGTCCAGAACCGGGTGTCCAAAGGATAAAGGCTGGAGCCTCCCGCATGGAGCTCAGGAGGCTGGAGACAACATGGAGCCGCACACGTGCAGAGCAAAGAGCTGTGCCTTACCTTCCCAGTGTCATCAGAGGTCCCATCTTTTACAGTTCTAGATTCAGTGCCCATTAGCCTCTACGGCCCCTCCTTTAGAGCTGCCCAAAACAATCTCTTCTCCCTGGAGGTGTTGTTTTTACGATTCCTAAGAACAGGGTTTAAAAGTGGGCTTTAATCATAGCCTGTGTCTATACTGACATAAACCTACCACAAACAAATGTATATCACAGACACATCATTTATGAACATAGGTAAAACATTTAAGAAAAACTGAAAACAGAGGCCAATAATTAAAAAAATGTCACATCCGTGATCATCAAGATTTCTCTCGGGCTGCAAAATA